AAGAAGAGAGAAGATGGGTGAAAAAATGTCTTACGGCCCAATCACAAAGTGCAAAGAGGAATTCAGATGGGAAATTGATTGGCTTTCGAATACTAACCATTGCTTGATACTTCCATTTATGAGGTGGAGTTTGACAGTGGCGAGACGAGGCCTACTCGGCCAACGTGCACACTGCGTGAAATATTGAGACATTCTGATATACTGAGAGATTGATTGAGAATTGTGCACTTGTGTTGAATCACTTGTTTGCTGCTGAATGAATTGATTTGATTTACTGACTATGTTTTGATCGCCCCTTCCGCATCACGCTAAGGGGACGGATTTCACAGTTGAGAACAGATTTGACATGATGTCGATATGAACCAGCTGCCTTGTGTGTAGCGTGACGCAAAAGCTGCGATGAAAGCAAATGTTGCGATGGAATTGATGCCCGACACACTGTGTTGGAGGACGAGCACTGATACCGTGACGCACCGATATCACCGGAAATGGCTAGATTTGATATGCCAAAACGAGAATTTGAGGTCGAAATGACAACATTGCCTTCCTGGAGCACGGATTTGACAATTTAGACATGCGAGTTTAAGAAAACTGGACGACTTTTCCCAGCACCCCTGTTCTGCTGAACGACGAGAATTGCCGAATCAGAACAGGCTGGAAGATGCAATTTGATGAATGAAGAGAAGATCTACAAGCAACCAGATGCTGTTGTGAGACAGATGATGACGATAGTCCAGGTTTGAGGGGACTTTGTGTCAGAGATTGAACGATCAAGAAGAGAGAATAGAATGACCCTGGCAACAGGACCCTGAAGTTCAGAGACAAAAGTCAATGTCCTGAATGGGCTGAGCCATTTTTTTACCTGTGTGGCCATGAGGTCCTGGCAGTCTGGCCCAGGATTTAGGTTTTCCCACAAGATTCTCTTAGAGATGAAGCTGTTGCCCGAATGCAACCTGAAGCTGTGATTGAAGAATGATGGCTAGAAGCAGGAGAGCAGCATTTGAACAATGAACGAAATGAAATCATGTTGAGTTGAATGACGAATTGAGAGACGAATGACATGCTAGAGCGATGTAGCCATGCATATGATGCATACCTTCATCAAGGGTACATCCTGTTTCAGACTTCCGAAGTCTGTTTTCCCATTCCAAGTGCAATCTAGCGTGAGATAGATCCCCCTCTAGCTTGAGGGGACCGAAAATGACCTGTGGTAGCGATTTATGACTATCCAGTTACCAGATTACTAAAATCAACCACAACAACTACCAAGTAGTAACACAACACTATAGCAACCTCTCTATCAACACCTCCTTCCTCTATCATCAGCCTTTTTCGTGGCCAAATGAAAGGTCCAGCCGCTCACAACCAGCAAAAGTTGTTGCCACAGAACACAAAAATGAAGAAGCTTCTCTGACATGGTTCTTATTAGGAGAGCTAGTGTCCCTAAAATCTTGTACACGATTTGCAGGTCTCAAATCAGCCGCCGATACAAGTGGAATTTATTCTTCTGACCATGCTCGTTACGATCGGTCCCACACCGTGTTCTTGAGCCACTCTTGTATGTTGTCTTGTATTCATGCTTCCAGATCAGTACATGTAGGATAAATCTAGGAAAAGCTAGTTCTTTTGGTGTTTGTGTAGTTTTACGAATTCTACATGTACTAGCTAGAGAAAACCATTCAAGAAACCTTGAAAAAAGAATTCTCGTGTTTGCCTTGGCCAGTTATTCCTGGGTGGGATCAGTGGAAACGTCAATACTGTGATCCTCCTCGCTGCCCTCTGCCTCTGAATTCCTATTGACGAGCAAAAGAAGTGCGATTCGATTCATCGCGACACTGTAAGATAATTTTTCTTGGGTACACATTACATTTTTATTTTGCCTGGTGGATTGTCTTTTTATCTTGAGAGAAGAACGCCTGTAACTTACTTACAAAATTGTACAACATGATTTTTGTTCCACCGTAGTGGTGGTTACGGTGGTGGTGGTAGTGGCTCCTCCACCTCCCGTTGCTTCTGCCGTTCCCGTTCCTGCCGCTGTTGCTCCCGTGCCAGGAGCCGTTCCTGCCGTACCGGTATTTGTGCCGGCTGCTGCTGTTCCTGGAGTTTCTCCTCCTGGTGCCGGAGCGCTGTCACCCCCAGTTCCACTTGAGGCAGCCATTCCAGCACTACCACTGGCGGCCCCAGATCCACCTCCTCCCCCACCGGTTGCCGCTGGAGCACCACCACTCACTGCAGGAGCTGCTGGTTGTGGTGGCCATGATTTGGGAGGTGCTGGTGCTGGTGCTGGTGGTACAACGGCCGGTTCGGGCACGGCAGGAGCCGGTGGGGGTGTCACTACCGGCGTTGGCGTCGGTTTGGCGGGCGGTGGTGGTTGTTCCTCTTCATTATCCTTGTTTCGATTCAAGTAGGATTTGTCGTCTAATTTTTTCTTGTAGAGACGCTGTGCCGGGACATACGCCACGGGTGCCGCCGCTTGAGCCGGTTGTGCCTGAATGATTCGCTTGGGGACATGGGATCCAGTGGCAGCGGTAATGGAAATTTGAGGCCCACTGGACTGTTGTGGTGGTTTAGTGGAGATGGTGGGTCCCTTAATGACAGGGCCGGCAGTGCTGTTGACGACCGTCGTGGCACCCTTGAACGTTTTTGTCTTGCCACCGGCTGTCGACTTGAGTTGTTGCTGGGCAAATGCAGGAACAAACGTCTGTTGATTCGGCTTTTTGTACACTACCGTCGTGCTGTGATCCACAACCACATTGTTAAAGTTGATCACGGGAGGATTGTTGCTGTTGGACATGCTTTTTTAAAAGATAAGTAATAATGAATGGTTGATGATGGTTGATGATGGCTGATATGTAGTACTAGTAAAAGAGAAATTAATGCAATAACAGAGAGTGCAAAGAAGGATACCTCCTCACACAGGTTGCTTCTATGAGCTCTTCTATGTTGCCTTGCTTTCCGCGAACCACAGAAGAAGATACCAAAAATGAGAAAGTCAAGAAGTGAAGGTCTTGCTTTTATCTTGCATGCAAGACACTTCATGCACGTTGTCTCGTTTTCTTTGACAGCTGCAAGAACTTTCGATGGCGTTCCAAAGATATAAGTCACAAGTAGTCAATCACGAATTCTAGACAACCAAGAAAATCTGAAAGTTGCGAAGTGGCGAAGTGCCAATGAAACCTTTGCAAGTACAGTACAGTACAGCTTTACTTTTCTGAACTTTTAAACTTCCTTCGGCAGTCCTTGGGCTATCTTCGGGTAGCCAACCATCTCTTGACACACTTTAGTAGATACTGTACTGATACTGCCACCTTACAATCCTCACACCGGCTACTTTCTTAGATTCTTTGTCTAACCATGACCACGAACACATCTTCTCCCTACAAATATTCGTCCATCGATCGACTATGGAAGGACGATACTTCGACTACTGGTACTGGTGATCATCAGACACCCTTGTCGGCACTCAAGCCTCAACAGTCAAATTTCAGTCGAAAGAACCTCATGATTGCCTCCATTGCAGTGTTGGGAGCACTGACTCTACTGGCTGCCATGGACACGCTCCACCAGACAACAACAACATCCCCACCCATTATGGCCATGAAACATCATTATAATCGACAAACCACCAGCCAATCCACTACTGCGGTTGCCATGCCATCTGGTGTCAATGTCGGTTCCTGGTTGTCCCTGGAAGATTACTTTTTTGCCGGACAGGATGGGGCCGTCGAAACGGCGACACCCGATACAATGTCCTCGGCCATTTGTCTCCCACCCCTCTACACTGGCCGTCAGTCCAACGCCCCCAAGAGTTGGCACTCGGAAACGGACCTTTTGACGAGTTTGATCGATACGGTTGGAGTCGCCCGTGCCATTAAAATATTTCATGCCCATCGAACGTCGTTTATTGTCGAAAGCGATATTGCGCAATTGGCCAGGTTGGGTGTCCAACACATTCGAGTTCCACTGAGTTGGTGTTTTACCAATGCCGATCCGAGTCGCATTGATCTTACGAATACCAGTCGAGCCTACCAACAGGAATTATTGGATCAATTCACATGTCCAGATCCATTCTATCAAGATCAACAACAAGTCCGATGGCCCGCCATTCCCAAATCCGTCTTGACGCAATTTTTGAGACACTGTGGTACGTACGGCCTGACGGCATCCTTGGATCTACACACGTACCCGGGTGCCACCAGTCCGGGAACGTTTAGTGGCATGTGGCCTCGTCCACCACGATTTTGGTATCACGATCAACCCGAACACATGGACACGGATTTGGGACGACGACTCTTTCGAGAGTTTGTGGCATGGGTCGAAGATTTGGCTACCACTGATCCACTGGCTTTTGATGGTATTTTGGCCATTAGTCCCATGAATGAACCGGCCCATTTGGCCGGAGTCTTTCGTCATTCCGAACGGGATTATCTACCACCCTTGGCGCCGTCCATGGCAGCCGAATATCGACACGACGTTTTGAAAGATAGTGTACCGGATGGACCTCATTTGCGGGTCTTTCGATGGATCGATGATGCTATTCAAGTCTTTCGAGAATCGTCCTTGCCAAAGGCGGGAAAAGAACTTCATGTCAATGTCCACGAGTCGGCATTGTCGGCCGAAGTACTGTCTGATCCACATGACGATAAAGACATGGGTGGTCGCCATCCATCCGCCACGAATCTGATTGCTGCCTGGTGGAGTCACGTCACATCACACAAGGAACGCCAATCCTGGGCCGTCCTCGATATGCATCATTATCATGCCTGGGAACCTGCTTGTATGGGAACATCAGACGGACCACCGCTGGGGAATTATACTTGTTCCAATGTCGATGCTAGAGTCGACGCGTTGGCCCGATGCACTTCTTGGGCCGATGTCTTTCGCGAAGCTGTGGATACGCATTGTGGCAAAGATGCCAAGCTCATGTCGGGGGAGTTCTCTACATCGACACATCACAAAGTCTTGCATGCCTGCAATGATGTAGATACCCTACGAGCATCCTACGACGCGCAACTGGAGGCGTCCCAACGAGCCAATGTCAAACTGTACTATTGGTCCTACCGCATGCCATTTGGTGGTGCCTTTCGATCGGCATGGTCCTTTTCTCATTTGATGTATCGGTTTGGAGTCAATCCTCATCCAGACGAATCGCTGTTTCCCTGCGGAGATCAAACCGCGCACCACCCCAACGAAGTTACGGATGATTTCTTTGCTGGCATTAGTACACAGGAATCAAGTTCTACTAGGTAGCTCTAGCTGTCTTTCTAACAACCAATTGTCGTGCTAAACCTACGCTTGGTCCATTACCGTCGCGGTCCTACTATACGAAAGGACCTTCACAAAGATTGAACACAACGGGTCGGGTTGACGTGTTCTACTAGCGATTGTATTTCTTGGGGCCAGCATTACACTGAGTCGGCCAAGTGGATGGTACCAGGTAGCAAGCAAGCGATAGAATGATTGAAGAATTCTTGTCTCACAAGTCAAACAGAAGTGGTTGCACAAAAAGGGATCAATTTTAGAATGTTAAGACTATTATAGTTGCTAAAACCAGTTATATGAAGTCTTTGGAAGAAATGTAACACACAAAGAAACTGGAGTTGAAGGAACCGCGCTATTCTCGTCTCCAAGCTTGTCTTTCAATCGATGTTGAACAAAAGTGGGCACCAGGCAGAGTTTGCTGCAGTGCGTCTTACAGGGGGGTGCACGAACATCAATGCAAACGACACCTGTTGGCATCTTTTCAGATAGTTTCCAACCGAAAAGGAACATCATGAGTGTGTCTGCTCTACTCAGTGGCAGACATAGACACTGACATTGACGATTGGAGGTTCATGTCAACATAATCCTTTGCTCTATCAATTCTCTTAAGGGCATCTTGGATCATAGCCTGCGAAGTAGGTAGGGTAAAATGGGAGATAGTAGGGCAACAAGATATGGTGATTACGTGAGAGTGGCTTGCACAGTCTATGTTTTCAAGAAAGAAGGAAGAGTGACTTACATCAAGTGTGGACTTTTCGGAATTCATGGAATCGTTAGCCATGAGATCAAAACTAATTGCAGGAGAGGACGCGATGGTGCTCGAATCGCAATTCCGTGCACGCTCAATTTCATCTCTGCCTGTGTCCTTGTGAAGGTTCTTGACATGCCGACTTCTGTATTTCATTCGCTCCTGCTCTCGTTGTTGAGCTTCTCGTCGTGACAGCTTCTTCGGCGATGATGGCGTCTTCTTGATGTCTGAGTGGGATTCCTTCTTTGACCATTTGGATCCTTTAGACTTCTTGGACCTGCTTGATTTCCTGGACTCGGCTTCTTCTGGTGCATCGCGTTGCTCCGTCATGACTGAAGGAACTTCCTCCACCTTTTCAGGCACCGACTCGTCAACCGTATCTACCCCAACAGTCTCTACCTTGATGGGCTCTTCATCGGCTTCCTCTTCTTCCTCCTTGGCGGCAGCGGAAGCAGCTGCAGTTTCGTCGTCATTTGTCATACCACTGGGCGTTGGTTGCTTCGTCAAAACAAGCTCTTCGGGTTCTGTCGCTGGGGCGTCATCCGGAGTCTTGGGTGCCTCGTCAGGTGTTTCCGCTGGAGTTTCGGTTGGAACTGCACTCGGAGCCTCCTTGGCCTCTGCTGGGGTCTCTTCAGCAGATTTCTCTGGAGCATCTGGGGCGGCTTCGGCTGGAGGAGCCTCAGCCTTAGAATCAACTGGAGCCTCAGAAGCAGGTTCGGCTGGTTTATCAGGTGAGGAGGCATCGGCAGAATCTGCGGCGGCCTTCTCGGCGGAATCTTCGGCCGCCTTCTCAGCAGAAGCTTCGCCTGATTTCTCGTCCGCAGTATCGGCTGGGGCGTCAGTAGGAGTCTCCACTTCAATTTGTAGTTCAGCCGTTACCGGTTTGTCTCCATCAACTTCGCCAGCGACAGCTTTGGCTTCACCGGGGACAGGAGGAGAGGGACCATCAACTTCGTCCTTGGGCTTGGAAACACTAGAGTCATCCATGGTGAAGCTGCCATCTGCCTTGATAGCATTGGTTGGTCCACAGGTAGGCACACATGTCGTGGAAGGGGCGCAAGCTTCAAAACACGAAGTATCATTGCTAGCCTCGCCGCACACAGGATCAGACCCATTGGGACCAGGGGCGTCACTGAAATGTAGCGCAAAAAGAATGTCCTGAAATGTGCAGCAAAAGAGGCTCCCGTTGACGGCGTCTGCCACCTCATCAGCTCCCGTTGATACGGTGGTTGCTTCGTTTTGGTTGGAAGTTATTTCCTCCTTCATGACATCTAAGTCGTCCTTATCTTCCTCATTGGGAGTCTCCACGTTTTCTTCTTTTTCGTCCTTCTCTGCCTTCTTTGGAGAGGAAGGTGGTTCCTCTTCGGGAGGTTCATCCCTGATTCCAAGGGCAGCCGGTGCTGAATAGTTGCACTCTTCGTCATCTTCTGACTCGGTGTCTTCGTCTCCTGCTGTTGTTTCGTAGTAGTGCGATTCCAAGACAACTGGCTTGGAGGGAGTTTCCTTGATAACGTCCGCATCCTTGGCATCGTCATCACCAACGGACGCAGCAGCCTCCGATTTGTCTTTGGTCGCCTCGGGATTCTGAGCTTCCTTTTTGTTTCCTTTCTTGCCCTTCTTGCTCTTTGACTTCTTGTGCTTCTTGCTGCCGTTAGCGCTGACGCTGTTGCCAGCGCTGGTACCAGCATTCTTCTTTTTGGAGAAGATGCTGGTAATCTTCTTGAGGCGTTTGCCAATGGAAGACGCCTGGGACTTGTCACCCTCGCCTTCGACGCTAACGTCGGATGGTTTCTCTTTGTCGTTGTCTACCTTCATGATGATGCCGCAATGAATGGATTGCTAGCTAGGTGTGTGGTAACAGAGAGGAAGATCTGAAGCAGAGAACACCGTAGTAGTATGAAGAAAGTTACAAAACGGAAGAGGCAAAATGAAACGGATGCTTTTTGCTTCACAAGCCTGCCAATTGTGAGAAGGTCACTTGGTCTTTTGACTGGATGCTTTGCCTGCAAGTGATTGGATACGCTCCAAGAGCCTCGGACAGGAAACAAAAGTGCGGCCAATGCAGGGAGTAGGAGAGGAACATGGTATCTGCACAATAGTAAAGGAGGGTCGGCGCAACCTTCCTCTCCAACCTCCCCTAAACAGACCATATCCAAGAAGTGGAACCTCCTATGTATTATCTCGACTATTGCGATTTCTGAGCATTTGGCGAAGCAGAGGACTACTCAAAAGGCGACGATGTTGCCTAGTTGGCTACTTCGTGCTCTTGGTATTTAGACGTTGGCTTCCACAAATCCAGAACAAAACTCCCGAGCGCCTCATGGTGCACTAACCCCAACGTCAATTCTCGCAAATTGTGAGAAAGTGTGAGAGCTTTCCAGAGATGAAGTTAACAGGTGTTAAAAATCCTGGAGAGGCATGCTTTCTGAATTGTGCTCACTTTTGTCTTCCTTCTTCTTGGATTTCGAAGCGAAATTTAAAACTCCACTCGCCAAAACAGGACCAGGCTACCGCTAGTGCTGTATGCATAGGATCTCTTGCAATGATCTCATTTTTCTCTTCTATTCTTCTCTCCTGTAGGTACGACTGTAGTCTAGCCAGGAAATTTATTGTATAAGACGAACGAGGCACTCTTCGTCTCTCCAGCAGTTGGATATAATACTATAAGACGAAAGAGGCACTTGGGAACCATGACCACAAGACAGCTCCGCCCCTATATGTATCGGCCACAATCAGCCAGCATCTTATCAAGGGTAGTACTTGCCCTCCTGGTCGTTCACTCAAACCTGCCGCTTGGTCTAGCTACAAAGACCCTTGAAAAATCAGTGAATGCCTCGCAAGCAAAGAAGGTGCACTCCTACTTGAGAGAAAACAACTACCAGAAACCCAGAGAACGAATCGTCGGCGGAACAGAAGCTACGCCAGGAGCTTACCAATTTTTTGCGCAATGGCTCACTGGTTGTGGTGGAAGTCTCATTCACGATGATATCGTCTTGACTGCTGGTCACTGCATGGCTGATGATATTTTTTCCCTACGACAACCTGTAAAGATTGGAGGACACGTGAGTGGGACTGGCAATAGCCGGCGCATTATCGACTACGCTCGACATCCTAGGTATGATTTTACAGATAGCAAAGCCTACGATTTCATGGTCCTCAAGTTGGCTAGACCCATACCCAACGCAACACTAGTGACACTCAACTCGGATCCAACTTATCCGTCCTCGGATGAAACCTTTCGTGTGATTGGTTTTGGGATTATGGCAGAGGGTGCTACTCGAACGGCACCATACCTGCAACAAGTGGATGTGAACCACATTCCAAATTGTCAACCCTATTACAACAAAAAATCACAAGTTCGCGATTCGGTGTCATTTTGTGCTGGTCACTTGGAAGGCGGGAAAGATAGCTGCACTGCAGACTCGGGTGGTCCGCTGTTTGACCCAGCAACCTTTCTACAAGTGGGGCTAGTGTCGTGGGGTCGAGGTGAGTGCAGACAATGTTGTCAGGTTCGTAGTGAAACAATTCGCATCTGTCAGCAGTAGATCTGACTGGCTCAATCATCTTCATAATACAGGATGTGCGAGACCGGATTCCCCTGGTGTCTATGCTCGTGTAAGCGTGGTCTATCCGTGGCTGCAACATAAAATCTGCGAGCTTTCAGCCGTACCACCAGCTCACTGCAACGAGATTCGGATTGACATTGCATACAATCAAAACCCAGAAGAAGTTGCGTGGGCCTTACTGGATGAACGGGGGCATGAAATGACAGTGACCTTCCGTGGCACAGTGCAAGAAACGGGGCTGCAGACGACAATCCTCCAGGTACCAGCTGGTGACTACACCTTCTGGATGACAGATGGCGATGGCAGTGCCATTATTGGAGGTGTTGCCATTTACAGTGGCAGAGGTACAACCGAAGAGCTAGCTCTCCATAATGGGGATATTCGAGATAGCGGAGAGCTCCTTCTAAACATCCAAGTGGGTGGAGCAATGGCTGCCGTACCAGTGGCGCCAAGCTTGGCGAATTCTTCCAGTCAAGTTTCCACTCCCACCACATTGGTGGACCAAACTGAAAACGGCAATAGCACAATGGTCCAAAGCGCTGTTTCGACTCTGCGAGTCGAAATTCTGTACGACATGCACCCGCAAGAGACTGGCTGGTTTTTACTGAATCAAGATACTGGTGAAGAAATCTATACTCTCCAGTTTGATGGCAACGGCACTGTCCAGCAAAATGTTGATAATGCATTGACTCAAGTCGTGGAGGAATTTCCCGGTTTGTTGGAAGGGAACTACTGGTTCCTCATTGCTGATTCTGCCGGAAACGGAATTTGCTGTAGTCATGGGAATGGGAACATTCGTATAGTTCAGGATATCATATACTATCAAACAGCGGTTGGAAAAAGGACCGGCTACATCACAACTGTCGAAGAGCGTGTGATTTTTGAGCACACCGGCAACTTTACAGATTATGCTGAGGCATACTTTGTTCTTTGATTCCTCCTTGATGATGATACCTCGCCTCTCGGGGGTGGACCCTGAAGAGAGTGAGAGCGGTCACAAGAGGGATATGAGCTATGTGGCACGAGCCACCCAAGCACCCAAGCAGCCACCCAAGCCGAAAGAGCAGTCGATACAACCAATGTGAAAGAGCCGTCGACACAACCAATGTGCCGCCTATTAATAGAGTGCTTGGTATCAATGTCTTCTTCCTTGAGTCCATTTACTTACCCTGATCCACAAATACTTTCTAACGCTGTAAAACTAGCTGTACCTGCGATTCTCCATGGTACCGATACCGCTAATGGTAACTGGTACTGAGGAAGCACATTTGTTTTCTATTGTCCATATTTTGTTCTCAAACAAACTGAATTCATTAGCTAGCTAGATTGTACAAAACATATCACAAATCTTTCCCCAGACCAGAGAGAAACCGCACCTTTCCAAGAGTGCAGTGGCAGGCTCCGAGTCGAGAACACTCGAGACCATTTCGAGGTCTAACAAGTACAGCACCTCGACCTGGTCTACCTTTCCTGGCCTAACACCAGTACCCGTACCGGTATGGTACCGGTCGGTCAGTACGTCAGTACCAGTACACTTGTACCATGGTACCGGTACCGGTACCAACGTACCAACCACTGCACCTTTGGAAACGCGCAATCGTTAGACCCAATACCAGTACCGGTAGGAGAACCCAACACCGGCCATTCTCGTGGACCGCCACGAGGCCCCAATCCGGGGCCCGACCGACCTACAAATACGGAACTCTTCCTTCACGCGATCTTTCGCTTTGAACTCCCACACCGAATAAATCCAAGCAAGATCTTTGTGTGACGTGGTGATTGACATCTCTCGCGGACTTACTCGCGTTCCGGATCCTGCTGATGGGTGGAGTGGCGCCAGTTCATGGAGCCGAGCTACCGGAAGCTATCATCTAGAGCAATACATTGGTTGCCATGATTTGCATCCATCATCCATTTTCTTTGAAAAATAAGAAGTCAGCGACTACACCTCATTGCCATGCATTCGCCTTCCAGTAAGAACAATCCCAATCGCCCAAGCGGCGAGAGCAGTCTGTTGCTGCCACACTCTCATCATCGTCAGGAAGATGCCGATGATACTCTCGGTGCAAGAGCTGGGTCATCGAGAGATGACTACAGGATCTCTTCTAGGTGGAACGTCAAGATTGGTCTCTTGTTGACGTCCGTGTGTGCCGTGGCCTTTAGTACCATGGTCTTTCTACAATCCAACCGTGGCGCGCTTCTCACAGAGGAGGCACTGGAAGAATCCTCCGGTAGTATTTCCAATTTGTTGCCTCCACAGGACATTGCGATGATGGGAGGCTCCAAGAAGAAGCTTCTCAAGAGATTTAAGAATCACAAAAAGCAAAAGAAAGATGGCACGACATATCTCTCTCGCTTTGTGTCTCCCGCGGTCAAACCACGCTGTTCATGGGTCATGGACCAGTTTCGAAAGCGCGACGAAGGAACGCCACCCTTGGATTTGGAGCAGCGATATGTGGCTCAATCCGAGGATCCCAATGTCTTTTACAGAGCCACTGCTCACATTTTCTGGCAAGACTTTGCAGCAGGAGACTGGGGTGGAGATTTCACGCGTACCTTTTTGCTGCACAATGATCCTGATTCAGATGATAGCAAAGAAGAAGTGGATAATGACCCCAAAAACATTCAGAGGCAGGACGGGGCCCTCCTCACGAAAAGGGATGTCTGGACTTGGGTAACTGGTACGAAAGATTGTGGTGTGGAGTACGCGGATGGTGGCCTTTTCCCTTCTCATTGACTCGACTCTGAACCCTGTCTGTCTCTCACTTACGCTCAACCGCTAGGTGATCAACATTTGAGTAACTTTGGTGCACAGACACGGAGATGTGGTGTTTGGTGTAAATGACTTTGATGAAGCAGCGATATTTGATTTCCAGGTGGACGTTGTCCGCATTGCCGTCAGTATTTGTTCCCATGCCATTACAAACCAACTGAACGAGGATGAAGTTGACCAGGCACTAGAAATCTTCTTTGCGTCGTATGTCCATACAGTGCTCGATTATGAAGACAACGAAGATGCGTTGCTGTTTGAATTGACACCCAAAACGGCGCAAGGTGAACTCAGAAAGTTCTTGAAGAAGAGTCAACGAAAGAGATCTTCAAAGAAACAACTGACAAAGTTCACTACCAGGCAAGTGCGGGAAGTTATTGTGTCCAACTCATCAGCAGGATGCCGCTCACAATCAATTGCATTTTTCTGGATCTCTCAGGGATCCTGTCACACAGGAACGACACTTCATCAAAGGCCCAGTAGATGTGCCCCACGAGACCACGCGTTTGGCATCTTTGTCCCCCGAGATGTTGGCTCAAGTGAAGCAAGCGTTCAATGTGACACACTACGGCGCCACCATGGTGAAGTTAGGATGGGCTGTCCCACCCTGGGACGACACATACTATCGTGTCTTGGATGTTGCATCCAGGATTGGTAGTGGCATAGGCTCATTTGGGGTGGATCGGTACTATGTCTTACTCAAAGGGCGGGATGGTTTGTTGGACGATCAAGGTGAAGATGGCAGTGCAGTCATTTTGGATGTCAAGTTCCAACCTCCGAGCGCAGTCTCTTGGGTTCTGGATGAAGAAGACACTGCTTGGTACAAGGTGAAGTTTCCCAATGAAGCGGCCCGGGTCGTGGAGGCTCAACGGAGACTGACAAGCTACACAGATCCTTTCACTGGGTGGGTAATGTTGAGAAATCTCGACCCCAATAGCACCAGCTATGGCCAGGACCAACCCTTTTCTGTGCGTCAGCGGTCTCCCTGGAAGGACTCTTTGGATCTGGACTCGCTGACGGATCCAGATGACTTCAATCAATTTGTTAGTCAGATGGCCATTTCCACGGCCACTTCCCATGTGAGAGGATCGGTGGCAAAGGCACCAGGAGATTTCAAGCATGTGATTGGTACTGTTTTGGGGGGATCAGAGCACAAGCGCCAAGAGTGGGGACAGGTCCTTGCGAAGGTGTCCCGTGGATATCGCGAGCAGGTGCTTCTAGACTTTGAGTGCTTCAGAGACTATGTGCAAGAGCATTATGCCTCTCCAGATCCCTCATCAACGTAGATCACTGATGACTTGAACCGCCTACATTTCAGAATACCACATTCACATAGCCTTCCCATTCGGTTGACCAGTACTCATTTTCATTCCCTTTGCAATCTCGCAACCTACCACACCGGTACCCTAGCACCCCATCAGCAGGCTCGCTTCGAGCAAGAAGGGACTTCGGCTGTAGCGGCGTACCGTGCCTGCGGTATATGTAGCGAGTGACTGTAACGGTGCCGTAGCGAGTGACTGTCGCTCAGAGAGTCCTTCGATTGAATGATCAATCCCCAGAGCCTTCACAGATACCGACGGTACACTACAGTTGGCGGTACTGTGAACCTGAGACGTGGATACGATCTGTCTGCAACTGGAGAAGTAGGCCTTCATACGTGCTTTGTTAGGGTTTAAAGTCGCCAAAATCCCCAAGAAAATCAGAAGTCCTGTGCGACTTTCTAGAACTACGATGTACTTTGAAAGTCATGATCAACAGGGGGTAGGGAGCACAGCGCACATCGTAGCGTCAAAGTCGTTCTTAAAGTCGTACTAATGTCGCACAATGTGGCTTGCGAGGGGCTTCGCGAAATGACTTCCACAGGGACTTTGCACTTGCTTCGCGAAATGACTTTCAGGGAAATCGATGCTCATTTTTGTCAGGGCGCGAGAAGGAGCTGCCTTTGTGCCTTCTAATACCAGTCTGGTACCATCGTACCATCCTCCCCACAGTCCCCTCTAACCCATAGTAACCACGCTCGTACCTTTTCGCAGCAAACCGCGACAACGGCACAGTCAATATCCCATTGGGCCCATTAACAATAGAAGTCACACCATGAGGTTCCATCACAAGCTCCTATTCGTCGGCATGGCGGCGCTTCTGATGTTCAAGGATACCAACGCGTCCACGTGTTTGATGATCTACATGATGGCTGATAATGAGGCAGAGCTATTCTTGAGGCAGAGCTATGGAGAGCTCGCCCTTTCCCAACTTGTCACTGACACCGACACCCGCACCTGGGTTTATTATGTAAGCAAGAGGGATGAAAAAGTGATTTCGAGGCGGCGTTTTGCTTCTGATGACTTGGCTCACAGTTATGTTGTTGTCATGCTTTCCAGGATGCCCACAACCAAGGAGGACAGGCTCTTCCAAACACTGTGGATGGCAGCGGGAATCTGGTCACAGAAACCTTCACGGGAAGCCGCTATATTACATACGATGGTAGTTTTGCAAAGATGCGAATTGACCTCGAGCTAGCCGGTGAGCAGGTAAGTTCATGACGCCGCCTAGCTACCTCAGATAAGCTCCAGAATGTCTTCCGAATTTATCTTTAACAACCTGTTCTGCATCCAGAACTCTGATACCCAAACCACGGTCCAAGACTTTTTGGATCATGCTCTCGCTGACTGTTTGGATGGCGGGTTTGATAGCCTCATGGCTGTATTTGCTTCTACTGGTGGTGGCTTTGCTGGATTTGGAGGCGACGAAAATGTTCGCAAGCTTCTTCAGGCCAACGCCAACGTTGCGTCGGCGATACGCAGTTCCCTGGATGCTGCGGGAGGACCCGAAAAGTTGGAAGTGTTGGGGTTTGATGCGAGTTTGATGGCAGCGCTTGGAGCAGCTGATGATTACATGGATGTTGCGGAGCATCTATTGGCCAGTGAATCTATCATGCCGGGACATGGTAAGCACCATTTTGATGCTGACAGACATTGCAGGACATTTTACATGTATAGCCCACTCATGGATCTTACCGTTGCTCCTTTTATATTGCAAAACAAGGATGGCCCTACGCTGATTTGACTAGCTCTACGACTGCTCTCGCTCTTGCCACTCAAATCGTTTCCACTTTCGCTGACACGCCTCAAGGGGATTCTTCGCTGGCAACAGGGATACCTCCGCATGCAACACCCAAGACGATCTCGTTGGTCAATCTCACTAGTTTCGACACGTTTGTGGATGCGTTTGAGGATTCTCGGCCGATCTTCTCGCTTTGCTTCAGGGAGGAGACGTCTCGTTGCATGCCTTCGTTTCCAGGGCTCGCGATTCTGCTGTTACATTCACAAACCTCGTCGATGCCGTCGGGTCCCGAGATCTCTCCAGCATGGATCTTGGCAGCTATTTGAGCACATTCCAGACTTTGTGCAACCCGAAAGAATCGCTACAATCCACTCTGTCTTCTGCAATCGCTGCCTACAACGACATGTTTGTAGCACGCCAAGTTGGTCCAGGCACGGCTCCTGGCACTGGTATGCATGTGGCATGGCCGAGCCAGCAAGAATTTAATCTCAATCCTGCCCTCTGGAACCAACTTCTTTTCGACAACAGAAACTATGTGACCGAGATTGTCCCCGAATTCAGGGCTTTCTTGGAATGGTACTTGCTGTCCCCAGCTCCTCCTAGTTTTAACAATGGGACCGCAGCGAGTGCCTGTGGGGCCTCCGCTGAGAATCCCAGCGGGATAGAAGCAAAAACTTCACTTATTCTTGACGACTCGATCGCTATAAGTGACACCAATGTGAGCTTGGTGGCTACCATATCATCCAATGTCTCTCAGCTCTTGGTTGAATATGGAATGGACGTTTCAGGGGCTCCTCTCAATGAACTGCTGGAATCAAGAGGCTATATTCCAGGGAGTAATGAGTACATGTACATGCTTGGTGGAAATCTGCCAACAACCTACAACGGAAACAACGCATCCGCCAGCTGGGACAGAAGGTTTTACTTCCTCAATGTATCTGGGACAGTGGATCCTCTGTATGTTTACAACGATGGTGACGGATCCAGACGGGTTCCGTGCATGTATTTCCATGAAGAAAACGGAGAAGGGCTTGCCGCGCTGACTTTTCTCGACTATTTGTTCTTTCACTTTAATTACTGGATCGATCAAGGGGCACATTATTGTTTCTTGCTCTTCTCCGAGGACGACAAGACGCGTAGAATTGACGACAATCTGGCGTTGTATATCACGAATGCTGCGGGAGTGTGGATGGAACAACCGCGGTCAGCGGGGGGCAATGTTGTACCGTTGATTTATGTTGATGCATATGTGGTAAGGAGGCAGCTGACAACACTTCCAGGAGGAATCAATCAAACTAATTTTCGATGGACTGAAGACTTGGTCTACAATATTGAAACTATGGACGCTGCGCAGGTTTTTGATGAAACATATCCTGCCTACGAAGGCATAGTTGTCGGCATGTCCGCCTACAACCCTTTTGCTTCACCTGAGACAAGATTCAATGATGTTTTGCGGAGGATGGCGACAGACGAGTCCCAACCAGTACTCAACGATACCGATATCGGTTGTCCCGGATTGGACTTTGATGCCAATTGCGAGGCTTGTTTGGAGGCTGGCTGCGTAGTGACTGCGGGCTACTGTTTGGCCGATTGCTCTGTACAAGGTGTTTCGTGCTGGGATATGCAGTATCATCCAAATAATGCTGTGGCCGATGTTTGTCTCATGGTGATACAGGAGCGAGATGATGCGGAAACTTGTGGTACGGCTTCGCTAGATTACACATGACGAGGAACGTTCGAGATCAGCACATCGGAATCGCTTTCTGCTCGTGATCAATCTAACTTTGTTTCTGAACCTCCCCAGGCGATGCCGAAGTGCAAACTTGCGAAACCTGTACTTCCACTGTGAGATCTGATGGCGAATCAACGTGTGGTTGGTACGAAACCTATTGCGGTATCGGTGATGGGTGTGACTTTCAAGGAACTTGCCCAGTGGATACATGTGAGCCATCTGCGCCAGAAGCAGTGGCTAAGGCTCTGCCGATTGATGATCCACCATCCAGCGGCTACCGCGCAGGAAAGGCAGCCCTGTTTGATGGTGTTTAGGCGAACAGTTTCTTTCATGCCAACCGATAGACCGCGCAGGAAAGGCAGCCCTGTTTGATGGTGTTTAGGCGAACAGTTTCTTTCATGCCAACCGATAGATTCAATCGAGCAAGGACTTCATACGACGAAATCGTTGGTGTACGAGAGGCGTCGTCGTAAGCGTGGGAAACCTGCAAGTGAAAAAGATTGTTTAACTTTGCTGTCCAGCTCCAGCGAACTCATGATTTCGTCATCTTATCCGACGTAGCATCGTCTACCACCGACGACGTTTGCGTTCTTCTGTTCGCTCCGCTGTTTTTGTTTCTGTTTCGACGATTGCCGCCGTTCTTGCTCTTGGTGCTGGATGCATTAGGAGCACTGTTCTTCTCTGCTGGCTGCTGATTGCTTTTGCCTCCTTGATTCTGCTGAGATTGCTGGTTTGATGTTTGTCCGCCGTCGTTTCCTTCGCTCTTGCTCTGTGCTTTCTTTGCCTGTTGTCGCTTTCTTTTCTCCTTTTTCTTCTTCAGAGCGTCTTCCTTTTTCTTCTTCAAAGCCTGTTCTCGTTGAATATGCTCCTCGATCCGCTTCTGTTCCTCGATGAACAACTGTTCTTCTCTCTGCTTCGTGGCGGCCTCCTGAATCGTAGCAAACGACCCTGCTCGTTCTCGACGTTCGATGAACCACTTTCCGTTGTCTTGATAGCTTTGATCTTGAACATTCTTAAAGTCTTCTTCTTGTTTTTGGATAACCTGGAAGCTGACACTTGACTCGTGTTGCTTCGAAGCCGCGGGAATGCGAGCAACAGCAGGTGGCGACCAAGGTGAAGAGGATGGACGTAGGCTATGGCTTTGAGGGGTCTTCGGTGCCTTTTGAAGGAAATCACCGAAAGATGGCATAACCATTGGTGATCTATCCAGCAGCTTTGGAGACGATACTTGTTGCGGAGAAGTCTGCGGGAACGAGGTTTTCACAGGCTTGGTCGCCCACGGTGGTGACTTGAGCGTCGGAGCAGCGCCAACTGGAAGCTGAATGGGCGTCGCCTTCGACCCTGCACCGAGCCACTGTGATCCAGTCGAAGGCTTGGTCAAAATGGGCGAAGCCGGCACTCTGAGACCCGCACTCGCCTGGATCATTGCCTTGTTCCCCCATGGAGGTGACTTCAACGCTGAAGCTGACCCAGGTGGCAGCGTCAAAGCCTGCGACGAGGTAGCACGCAGCTTCGTCGAGGTGGCGACCGAGACCTTTGTCTTTGCTTTCTCTTTTGCCTCTTCCTCCATTATCTCATGTAAACTCTTCGGTTTCCCGGGTTGTTTCTCGACAATCTCCTGGGTAAGGTTTTCTTGCGGAGAAAGCTTGTATTTCGATTGAAACGAGCCACCTGTCTCTTTGCAGTTCGACCAAGCCGAGACCTTGGTGGACGGAGAGGCCCTTCGTGAATCAACGCCCTTGTTTATCTCGCCCATCTGCTGACGGTGACGCTCTTCCATCATTGACGCCGCGGCTCTCTCTTTCTCCTTCTCTGCTTCTTGGGCAACACGGTTTCGATGCTTCCGTCCATTCATGTGCAAGGCAAAGCTCTTCTCGTCGGGGCAAGCTATTTTGCACGCGCTACACCGCAAGGAAACCTTTTCGGAGCCAGGGGCTGTCTCTTCTTTCATCATCTCGGAAGTCGGTGGTACCTTCCCGGAAGATTTCTCAGAGTCCGTTAGTTCGGTTTTCCCCTTGCTTTCATCTGCACATCCAGCAGTTGGCTTCTTCAGCTTCAGGTTGAATTGCAGCATCCGTCGTTCTACGCGCTCCAACGCGGATTCGAAAATGCAGAGCTCGGACTCAAGCTGCGGACGTCGAGCAATCTTTTCTCTCTGATCAGCGGAAAGCATGGCTGGGTCGTCAGGGTTTTCCTGAGCGTCCATGGCGTCCACGGCTTCCAGCTTAGCAATCTGGCTCAGCCGCTTCTTGAGACCACGGACTTCTCTTGTCAAGCAATCATACTTTGCCTGAACGTGCTCCCTTGTCGATAAATCCATATTTGTTGTCAACATGATGCAACGCTCCGATGAGGACATCTTCCTATCCCTTTCAGGATCCGAGGTAACGCTACCTGACCTCTTCCTACCACCACTTTCAGCCTCGCCTGCCGACCCAACAGATGATGAGGAACGTCGGCGGAGGAGTTTTGCGTTAGAGGCCAACGAAGGTCTTGACGTCGCGGCTCTTCTCATTCGATGCAGCAATGAACTCAACGATTCATTCTTTGACAACTTTTGGCAAGCTTGAATCCACTCGACTGGATCCGCTGGCACAGTTTCGCCTTCAAGCATCCCTTTCCGACCGCTATAAGTCGCCAAGGCAATATCCAATACAAGCGGCCGCTCTCGTCGATCCCTTGGATCTTCATCCAAAAGGAGCAGCCCGTTGGCAACATGTTCCTTCAAGTACATTTCCATCGTACTTTTCTGGCCAACATTTAATACACCGTCAATGTTGAGGCGAACGAAGGAGCGGCAGTGGTCCATGAGATAACGACAGTTTGTTCGTTCTGCTGTCATCAAGATCGGCAAAGCATTGAACAAATCCACGTGCTTGACAACCTCCTGCGCAGCCAACAGTTCCAGAGTTGCATTGCGCCTAGTGGACATGGCGACTGGGGATGGGAAAGACGCACCCATTAAGAGCACAGTGTGCTCTTTTGCAGCCGATATCCCCACCGCTCGACTGACCCCACCAACGCGTTTCGGACTGGGCTGCCATCGAACGCCTTCGTGACCCATGACACCTTTCCCGTAACTCGCGCCCCACGTGAACAGCGATCCATCGTTCGTCACGACAGCAGTGTGATTCTCAGATGTGGAAACGGCAACTGCAAATCCACCACCTTCTTCGGGTAACATACCCGTAACAAGCTGAGGCCTGGAATTAGGACTCTTGTTTGCCGCCTTGGCTTTGGTGGAAGCGCCCAGCGTGTCGGCATGGAAGCCCCACGTGTACACTCTTCCGTCTGACGTAATGGCGGCGCTGTGATGGCGTGCACAGGCAATGGCAATGGGATTAACGGAACGTCCTCCAGATCCTGCCGCCAAGAACACATTCTCCTTGCTTTGTCCTCGTGGACGACCGCCTTCCGTGGGGTCCGAGAAGTGCACCTTGGCTGGTACATGGTTGCCATGTCCCCATGCGTACACTTGATTCACTGGGAGTCCACCAGGGCTAGGCTTGGCCAACACCAACGTTGCTTGAGCAGAGGCTGCGACTTGGAAACATACTCGGGTCTTTTCATTGTTCCACAAGGAATCGACGCGTTGTACTTTATGGGCCGCACCGCTGTTGCTCGCACTTCGACGATGGTTGATTCCAAGCTGCCCCGAAGCATTGCAGCCCCACACATAGACTTCGCCCTTTTGACTGAGAGCCACTGAATGTTTTTCTCCTGCCGCCACACCGATGCACGACACGTGCTTTTTCCACAAATCGTCGACCCGTCGAGGCAGGCAACACCGTGATCCAGAATCGTTGCTGCTACTGGTATCACCTCCCGTAAATCCAAGTTGCCCGAACCGGTTGCTTCCAAAGGCATACACCACCCCTTCGGATGTAACACAGAGACTGTGATTCTCGGCCGCGGCAATGGCTACAACACGTCGCTTTTGGAGAGGTCCCAGCACTCGGGTTGGCGCCGGACAATGCCTTTCATTATCACCAGTCCCGAGACGCCCACCCGTTCCAACTCCAAACGCATACAAGTGTCCCTGACGAGTCGCCACAAGGGTATGATGAGCTGCCGCAGCGACCGCCACTGCCGAACCGTCTCGACCGACACGCTCCTGTGCAAATTCTTGCACTCGGTAGGGACGCAGAGTGGTGGTGGAATCGGACGAGGACGCCTTGTTGGACGTGCGCTCCTCGTGATTTTTGCCCCCCTGCACTCCCAGAGCCAAGTGGTTGGACCGTCCAAAAGTTAAGACTTCGCAAGCATAGGAGATGCCTGCAGCGTTGTTGGCGGTGACGGGTTGACCGAAGATATCCGTTGGACGACGTTGCTGTTCTTGCTGCATGAAATTGTGCAAATCGGCAAATTCATTCTGTTGCGCCACTTGTTGCGCATGATCGAGCTGCAGCATTGTCTCGAAACTGTTCTGGCGGGGGCGTCGGGCAGCACCAGTTTCATTCATCATCACCATTCCGTCGAGGGGAGAATAGACCAGAGATTTCCTGCAATATTCCAGCTCTTTGATTTGCAACTTTTGCATCAATTGAAAAGCAGTCAATCCTTCGGCATCCATAGTTTGGAGTACGGCTCGTGCGTCGTCATGAATGGATAGGCCGTCTCCTCCTTGTAGCAATGCCAATGGCCGGTGCAGGAGCCTCTTGGACATGACACTGGTCCATTTCTCCTCCTCACGGTTCTTGTTGCTGATACTGCTGTCCACTTTGGAGGACAACGCCATGGAATATCGCAATAGCAATAAAATGACGGGCAAGTCTGCCTGGAGCACGGCTCTGTGGAGCGGTGTGTACCCAGATTCTCCGTCTCCATGTTGCAGCATGGTGGATAGCCATTGGGAATTGTGTAATAAGGACAAGAGCTGAGAATTGTTGTTGTTTGTTTTGCTGTTGCTGCTGCTAGCCGATCGACTGTAATGATCCAGTTGATGAGCCCGGTCTAGCAATGCTTTGATGAGGCAAACATTCCCGGACGAGTGCAGCAGAGTTTGTTTGGACGTGGGATCTTCCATGGCGAGAAATACCAATTCCCATAGTTTCTGGGTCGCTTCCAAGGCTTCCAGTGAAAGAGATGATGGTACGGCCAAAGAGGCATCCGCCTTGCCGGTGGCAATCCCCAAGGAGGAAGAGCGTCGTCGTCCAGACATTGTTGTTGGGGGAATGAGTATTAAGCACAGGCGTTTTTCTGGCGAGGTACCGGTAGCCGATCAATAGGAAGCTGATGGTATGGTACCAGCTAGAGTAGGTAGCAGAAGGTACACAGTTGATGATAATCAGCAGATCAAGGATCGCAGGAAGATAATGAAAGAGGGATTACCCTGGGGTTTCGTGGCGGTAGTGTTGTGGAAGTAGTGGGGTTCAGGTAGATGAAGGTAGCGCAGTCAGAATTGCTCTTTCAGTCATCAAGCTGGTCTGCTTCTTCTGATACGGTATTCTGACGCCACACGAGTTGTAGTGTACGGTATATATCTGGTATCGATTCGGAATGTATATTTGAATGAATGGCAGTCAATAATAATAGTAAGGTGATAAAAGGGAAGTGGGGAATGCAACGATTTCTCGATCGTTGCTATATTCTTTCTCGTTGGTGGGTGGTGGTGTCTTGTTGCTGCTGGGAATAGCTTGGGTTCATTTTCTTGTGCACTTTAGCTTTACTATTGGGGACAACAAAAGGAAGGTGGCGTATCCTTCTTCTTTGTTGTGGTTGTTGTGTGTCGTTTGTTGCTACGGCTTCCTGGGTGATGATACGGCTCGACGAATCTGGGCACCTCAACGACATCAGAATCTTCTTGGGTGTGTTGTGCGTGTTGTTCCGACATCGTCACACGTTTCGTCGGGGTTCTCGCGTGAATCGAATCGAATCAATCGAATCAGAATCGAATCTTCACCGAATGTTCGAACAGCTACAGTCAACACTCACTTAAGTTCCGTTTTTTTAAGTTCCGTTATTCTACAAAGTTCCACTTTTTCAGGGCTGCCCCCCCTCAGTCACTAGTTCTCATGACTGAACATGACTGACTGGTGAATGGGTTTTGTGGCTGTTTGAAAAGTTAGTTCAACTTTCTCTTTCATGCCAGACACCCTCAGGTACTCCACAAAGCCCAAAGAGCACGTGTTACTAGCATTTTGCTAGTAGTAACACAACTAGTCGACAATAGAGACACTATATGTAGAAGCGATGTGGTTCCACCCTATGAAAGATTGGTTCCTTTTGCCCCCAACAACAATAGAATATGACAGGAACCACCCCAAGTGGGTCCTAAGACCACGAACGGGCCGATATGGGGCTCCAAACATCTAAAGTTCCGTAATTCAGCTAAGTTCCGTTTTTTTCTTAATGCTGGGGGGTGGAACTTTAGTGAGTGTTGACTGTATTCCGGCTTTAGAAGGAGCCACCAAATTCAGCAATGATTGGGTCCTCTCTTCTGTAGCCATGACTCTAAGCGGAGCAATGTGGTAGCACACATGCTCCAATTAGACTGGCTGCCACTGCAGATAGTGCTAGGAGCCACTCATTGTTCTGAGCAGCCACCAAAGGAAGAGGACAATGATGTCCTTTTTTCTGAGCAGCCACCAAAGGAAGAGGACAATGATGTCCTTTTGAGGACAATGATGTCCTTTTTTCCGTTTTATCGTTCGAGGTACCGACGGCTACTAGCGACGGCTACTAGCTACGGCTACTAGTACTGCTACCGCTAGCTCCTCCTACGGCTGTCGGTGCTGCTGCAGGTCAATCGATCGCTCGTTCGGTCCAAGGAAGAGGACAATGATGTCCTTTTGTCCTTTTTTCGTTCGATCGAACGGCTACTCGCTACGGCTACCGCTACCGCTACTCGCCTGTTGTTTCCACTACTGCTGCTACGGCTACGACTACCGGCAGTTGGTCCTGTAGCGGCAGCCTTGTTATTGGTTGAACGATCGATCGATCGGTCTTTTTCGTGTGCTTTTTCCACACGAGGCTTTCGTGTGCTTTTTCCACACGAAAGAACTCTCTGGCCATGATGCGTTCACCACCTGGTGTTCTGCTAGCCCCACTGCTATGATGCGTTCACCGCCTGGTGTTTCGCTAGCCCCAACGGCGAGTCACCGACTGGTGCTCCCACCATGAGAGATCGCCAACTGGCACTCTTCGGCCTTGATGCGTTCACCACCTGGTGTTTCTGCTAGCCACACCGCTATGATGAGTTCACCGCCTGGTGTTTCTCTAGCCCCCTGCCATGATGAGTCGTCACCAACAGGTGCTTCTCTAGCCCCGCCAACTGGCATCTTGAGCGACACCAACTGGTGCTTCGTCTCCCATCTTGAGCGACACCAACTGGTGCTTCGTCTCCTATCTTGAGTGACACCAACTGGTGCTTCGACTCCCCTCCTCGGCCAACTGACCCTGGAGTTGCTTCGCCTTGGAGTTCACCAACTGGTGCTCCACAGCGGTTGTCGCCGTGCGTCCCGACTCCACGGCCATGGTCGCGAGTTCGCGATTTCGACAACAACATAGTGACAGCCCTTGGTACCTGATAGGTGTGGAGCTGACTATGCCAGCGATTGAGGCCGTGAATTCCTTTTGGCGTGGCCCTGTTGCCTCCGTCTTTGAACGGTGGTGGTTGTGGCCCTTTGTGCCGCTGATTGATTGCCATGGTCGCCCTTTGCGTCTGGCTCTTCCTCCTCCAAGAGTGTAAACTGGCTACTTTTTTGTCATTCCGATGGCCTAATTTTAAAAAAGTTTCGGCCTCCATTCACTCGTACAGTATGTTGGCTCGCATCTTTCTGCGCGCCTATTTTCTTTCGTGTGTTTACACCTAGAGTAAAGGTGGTCTACAGTCCGACTGTATACCACTCCGGGTGTCCGCTGACTCAGTTGACATGGGGCTTTCGGCATCGTGTCTGCGACACGCTGTTCGTCAGCACATGGGCTCTTCTCAGTTCAATGTTGGGTTCCAACGGTTTTGGATTGGTGCACTGGTGCACTGGATATCACCGTTGTTCCCCAACCCTAGCACTATCGTTCCGACACTACATACTCTAGGTGTATTTGGTCGTACCTAAATAGTCCTAGCGAACTGCCCATGCCAACCAGATTGCGGACAGCTGAGGCGGTGGCTGGGAGTCGAGGAAGACTCCCAAAACAATCCTCAGAATGAACCAGCCCACTCTCGAATCTAGCTAGCTAGTAGTTTGTTTGGTTGCCTGCTCTTCCAGCCCATGCTAGATGCTATGATACCGGTGTCATTTGGAAAACCACCACACTGCTATCATGCTCGCAACTAATAATGGAAGGCATGCGGCAAACTCAATTGAGAGAAGCCACTTCTTTATTGAGCGTCAGCTGTCCCAAAACCAGCCTACATGTACTTGCTACATGTACTAGCTAGACTAGCTAGAGCTGAAGATAAACTGTTACGAGAGGCCCCCGTTTCCCCCAGGACCGTCCGACGCTTTTCACTCAGGATTTAAAAATCTTCAAATTGCCACGACTGACAACATCTTTTAAACAACCCCTTAAACAACCCCTTAAACAACCCTTAAAGCTTCAACATCCCCTTAAACAACCCCCTAAATAAACAACCCCTTAACAACATCCCCCTATATCCTCGAAACAACCCCTTAAGCCTTCATTGAAACGCCATACAACAACCCCTTATCACGAATGAACATCCCCTTAAATAAACAACCCCTTAACAACAACCCCTTAAATATTCAACATCCCCTTAAACATCCCCTTAAAGCTTCAACATCCCCTTAAACAACCCCTTATGAGAACCAGGATTATGAGTCAGTCGTGCCCGTTTTTAAAGCCTGAGTGAAAACCGTCGGACGGTCCAGGACCGTCCGACGGTTTTCACTCAGGATTTAAAAAAACTTGAAATTCCCACGACTGTGGACCGTTTAAAACATGCCCTTAACATACCCTTAAATCTTCAACATGCCCTTCAACATGCCCTTAAATAAACATGCCCTTAAAACATGCCCTTAATGCCTCAAAACATGCCTTTAAGCCTTCATTGAAACACCATAGAACATGCCCTTATCAGGAATAAACATGCCCTTAAATAAACTGCCCTTAAATCGGCAACATGCCCTTAAACATGCCCTTAATAAACATGCCCTTAAAATATGACCTTAATCGAACCAGTCCTGGCAGCTTTTTTAAAGCTTGAGCGAAAACCGTCGGACGGTCCAGTAGTGACTGCATCTTGACACCATTGATACGTTACAGCTCCACAAGCTTCTATAGAACGCGCCGAAGAAGTGATCAAGGGTTAGGACCGTTGGTTCCTTTTAAAAAGTAGTTTCCACGCGGAGAGCGGAAAACTCGCCTTCTCCAGGAGGGACACCACGATTGCTGTCCGTCCAACGTGGACGCTGTACTTGTTTCTACGAGAGGGACCTCACTTTTGTTTGCTTCCTCCACCTTCTTTTGTTGATGGCTTTGTTGTTGTTGTAGTAGTCAATGGCCAACAACCCTTTGAGGTACCACCGTAATAGCAAGGAAGAAAGTAAAACAGAAGAGACAGGAGAACGTCATTTGGATTGAGTAGTCAATCATCGAAGCAGAGCAAGAGGAGAGCTTTTGCGGATTGGGGCTTCTCCACCAGTGCTAGTCTCACTTGCATCCATCCATCGTATCTTGAGAATTGGATTGAACTATACTATATCGGAACGATGCAATCCGCCTCGAGCAGCAGCGCCAAGAAGAAAAAGGGGAATCCTCCTCCTGCTTCGAAAACTTCGGCACTGCCCATTCAAGGGTACTACGCGGTCCGAAAGGGCAAGCAAGGATTGAAAGATTGCATTTTCGTCTCGTGGGATCGCGCCAAGCCGTTTGTGGTTGGTGGAGATGACAGCAACACCACCAACAACAATAACAGTAGCAGTAACACGAGAAGCAAAAAGCGAAAGAAAAAAGACGACGAAGAAGAAGTGGAATTTTCCTTCTTTGCCAAGTTTGAAGATGCCATTCAGTACATTCATCCCGGTGGAAAGAGCTATGCGGATTTGTGCAGTAATAGTGGTGATGGCGCCAAGAAATCACCCAATTCCAGCAGACGCAAGCGACAAGCTGTACTAGGACGTTCGCTCAAGAAAATGAGAATTCCCACGCGTGAAGCCGCAACGGCCAATGAGGAAGAGGAGGAGGAGGAGGAAGAAGAAGAGACGGAAGACGCAGCCATGGAAGAAGCCAAAGCGGAAGAAGTAGAAGAGTCTCCTCCTCCAGACGATGACAACAAAGACAACAACGACAAAAACAAGGACAAGAATAATAAATCCAAGGATGATGCCAACAATACAAACAATGAGGATGCCACCACCGAAGAAGAAGACAACGAAATGCAGGAATCCACAAACCCTCCAGCAGCGGCTGCATCAGTAACAACGCACCCTTTGCATGTGCTGCTCGAACAGGGGTTTCAACAAAATCTACCCAAAGGATGGCGATCACAGAATTTGGGATTGTTCTTGACACGACGAGATCAGTATCGAGAACCGGCGCTCAAACAGTATCTCCAAGACCTGGTCGAACTACAAAATTATCGAGAAGCCAATTCCGTCCCGGCTCGAACCAATAGCAACAATCGACACTTTAGTGGTGCCAGTCACCCCCTCTCGGTTTACTACCTCAATTGGTCCTGGGGTGTTTGCAATTCCTATCATCGAGATATTCGACGACAACAAAAGAACCGACCCCCATTGACGGATAACAACAACAATACGGCAGCAGCAACGGCAACCACAACCTCCAGAGCTGTCATTGTCGATGGAGTGGAACTCCCTCATTTCAAGGCTCACAGCAGCAGTCAAACTACCAGTAATACGACTGCAACTTCCTCCTCCAAGGCAAAAGAGGATGCAACCCCTCCAGAGCCTGCTGCTGCCTCTGGGCTGATCCGGGAACTAGAACAAGCGTACTTGTCGTTGAAAGAGCGGGGATGGAGGGCGAAGGCAATGCAAGAGTCGAACAAAAACGGCAAACCACAAGCATCCGACAATAAGGAGGCAGAAACCAAAGATGCCGCCATGAAGGAGGAAGAGCCCCCCATGCCACCACTCAAAGGCATGGCCGCCACACTCGAGAAGAACAACGCACCAGCGCAAAGCAGCACAATGGAAACGCTCAAAGGGAAAGAAGTAGCCAGCGACAAAGTCAACCCAACAACAATAACCAAAGAAAGTGATGCTAGCGGTGGCAGCGAGCCCATGTCCACCAATGACGACCAGAAGGACACTCTCGAAGGCAGCACCCCACCAGCGAAACCTGACACTCTCGAAGACAGCACCTCACCGGCGAAACCTGAGAGCCCAAAACAACCGGAGACCGTCCCGGAGCAGAGTCAACCAACCAGCAAAACTGTAGCTCCCACGGAGAATGATGCAAAGCCAGAAGGCACTCCTAAGGAGACGACTCCACCGGGCAGCGCCAATAAGGATGAAACAAAGGCAGCAAGCACAGAAGCAGCCACCGAGGCAGAAACCACCTCCAAAGAGGCAACTCTAGATGCAACCAGCAAGGAAAAGGCCGAGCCGGTTACTGATAGCGCAATTATTCAGGAGGGAAAACCTGTAGGAAACGAGGGAACAACAACAACAACGAGTGTCCAGCAAGAAGAAGCTTCAAAAAGCACCAACAACGAGGCCATGCCGGATAGCGCCAACGACAAAGCCACGAGTGTCGCCGAGAAGGAGGTGGTGCCGGATGCCGACAAGAACCCTGCTAAGCCACAAAGCGCGATCATGCCGGAGGGACAACCAGTCGGAGACGAGGGAACAACACCAGCCACTAGTGACACCACTGCACAGCAAGCAGCTTCGAAGGAAGTTGATGCAACCGTAACAGCAGTAGTAGCAACAACGTCAGAGAGCAAGAGCGACGAAGCCAAGATTGATGTTGCTAGCAAAGAGGAAACCTTACCAAAGAGTAACAGCAAGAGCACTGACATTTTCAATGTCGAGGCCGAGGCATTGTATCAAAAGGATCTAGACGAACTTCTGGCTTTCCGAAAAGAGCACCCAGAAGAGCTACGACGATGTCCTCCGATACAGGATCACCCCAGCGGAATCAAATCTCCATTCACGGTTCGCTACCTGAAATGGTCTTGGGGCAAGGAATTTTCTCCCGATGATGCCGACGAGGATGATCACGCCGTTGCCGCCACGGTGGCACCGGCAGGGTCAGAGCCACCGAACAAGACACCCAAGACGGATGCGGTTGCATCGGCGAAACCGCCAATGCCCAGTTTTGTGGACTCGAACCGCGATGGTACGGAAGAAATGGACGAGGATACGCCTGCATTGATTGAACTGCTTCGTGCCAGTTGGTTTTCCAACAAAGACAAGGGCTGGCGAGCTTCCGAGTTGGGCTTCCCTCAGGGCGGCAACAACCGAAAATACAACTCGACCTCTCGAAAAGAACGGGAACGATTGTACTTGATCGATTTGGAGACTCTCAAATCTTGGTGGAAAACGTATCCTTCCTCTCAACACTACGTCTTTACGGCGCCAGACGAGAACAACAATATTGAGCAGGAAGAAGGCATCGACCGGTCCAAGTTTCCGTATGGTCGCAGTGGAAAGAACAATCTGTGCAAGTATGACCGAAGACACAAGAGTGGAATCAATGCACCGTGGTCGTTGACTTATTTGAATTGGTCGTGGGGTGTGAGCAATTCGTACAATCGGGACTTGACACGGAAAGAGAAACGAAAGGCCAAGCAAGACGCACAGCAGGCATTGTACATTTGAGTTGCAGTGGGGGTGTGGATGAAAAGCAACAACTTGTGAAACCCGTATTGACATACACGTGTTCGTTTAGTGATATTATTTCAGCCTTCTAGAAAATATCTATCTGGCTTGCCACCCAATCTAGCTAGTTAGTCGTTTCCTCTTGCGTGACCATTAGGCTATCTATTAACGTAGCTTCGAGGCGATGCTATCAGGCTGTGCATGATGTATTGCTTGGGCTCTAGCACTGACTTCGCCGTTGCCATCCCTCGGTCAGGCGTTATTTGGTACCGGTAGACGCGGACGTGCTACCGGTACTAGCTAGCTAGGTGGCTGTTGAATACCAATAAACCAAATTGTTTCCTGCAGATTTTTTAGGAAGACAAGGATTTCTGATAGAGGCCATCCATGACATCTTGAAATCTTTGGCGTCTGTTTTTCTTGCGGTGGCCATTTGGGATCACGGCAGCGGCGGTGGCCAAATCATTGTTTCGTTGTCTTGTTTTTCGTTTGTTGGATTTGCGTACAGCCTCTTCTTTCCAGGTTGGATTGGTCAAATACTGCTGCAAATCCCACAACACTACGGAATCACCCAAATAGGAGAACCCGGACTCCTTGAATCTCCCAGGAGGTATAGCTTTGTTACGCAATTCTTCCGCACGGACCTGAAGAGGGGTGGTTCCAGCCAATACTTGTTCTCTCCATTGAGCTTGTTCGCGTACTTCTAAATGAGTCGCGCAACCATTATCATCACAGCAATTCAAGCAAGCATGCTGGGTACAACCTACAAAAGTAGTAACAAAACAGAAAGAAAGAAATTCCATCAATAAACGCCTCTCTAGCTAGTAGCCATCCTGACCCAGTCCAACACAAATTTCACGCATATAAAACTCACCACGGCGTGCTGCTCGTTTTGCACACTTGGAACATTTCGTGTTGGTATTAGAGGTTGTGGTGGAATTGGGCGAATCGACTGTGTTGACCTCGACCTTTGCGACGGCAATA